TATTGCCAGTGTGTTCATATTTTTCCTTTGATCTGTTTTTTCCCCTCTTCTGTTTTTGCATGTCATGTTTTAATATCTTATCCTTTGTGCACAAGATCAGTCTTGCCAAAGACTTGTCTTCTGTCTAAAGTACTAGCCTTTCCTTTTTAGATGTTTCTTCTTTAACTGTCTCTATAAAATTTTGATTTTTTTTTAATTTTCATTTTGAAAGTTTAAACTCATAGCTTGCAGAATTATTTAATTCCAAATTAGTTTTTAAAGGGCTTTGTTTTAATTACAGTGGTCAAAGAACATGACTTTCATTACAGATTTATTGTTTCTATAGAAGAGTTGGAGGTGGCCCAGTGCAATAGCCTAGTGGGTAAAGTCCTCGCCTTATACATGCCAGGATCCCATATGGGTGTCGGTTCATATCCTGGCTGCTCCACTTCCCATCCCGTTCCCTGCTTCTGTCCTAGGAAAGCAGCAGAGGATGATTCAAAGCCTTGGGGTCCTGCACCCACATTGGAGACTTGGAAGAAACTCCAGGCTCCTGGCTTCAGATCAGTTCCAGGTGCTGTGGCTGTTGTGGCAGCTTGGGGAGTGAACCAGTAGATGGAAGAGCTTTTTGTATTTTCTTCTCTCTGTAAATCTGACTTTCCAATAAAAATAAATAAATCTTTTTTAAAAAAAAATAATAATTAGAAGGAGAATTAGGGAAAAAGAGAAAGAGATCTTTACCCACTGGTTAATTTCCCAAATGTCCACGATGCTTGGGGCTGGGCCTGGCCTAAGCCACAAGCCAGGATCTCCAGCCAAGTGTCATCCACATGTGTGATAGGGGCCCAGGTGATGGGCCTTCTGACAGTGTTCCCTGCAACACATTAGCAGGGGGTTTTGTGGGGAGCAACTGGGACCCATAGTGATGCCTTCCTGTGGAATGCCAGTTTCGTAGGGGCAGCTTAACCACCTCCCACACTGTATGGCTTATTAGATTTATTTATACATGTTTTATGATCTAGAAAATAATAAATTGCAGTACATATGCACTTGGAAAGACTATATTCTGTTCCTTTTGAGTCATGTTTCTTTCTTAAGATTATGTGTTTATTTAAATTAAATAACTTAAATTGAAAGGAAAATTTACAGAGAGAGAAGGACAAAGATAGATTTCATTCACTGATTCACTCCCCAGATGCCTGCAGCAGCTGGAACTGGGCCAGTGTGAAGTCAGGAGCCTGGAGCTTCCTCCAGGTCTCCCATGTGAGTGCAGAGACCTGAGCACTTTTTCTAGGTGCATTAGCAGGGAACTGGAGGGGAAATAGAACAGCCTGGACTTGAACTGGCACCCACATGGAATGCAAGCACCACAAGCAGAGGCTTAACCTAATATGCCACAGTGCCAGCCCAGTGTTTTAGAAATGTCTTAATGTTGTTAATGTTTTAGAAATTAGTGGGGTCTTAGTTGTGGTGTAGCACGTTAAACTGTTGCCTGCAGTTTTGGAAATGCTTATTTGCACTGGTTCTGAGTCCCACCTGCTGTACTTCCAGTCCAGCTCCCTGGTAGTGCATCTGGGAAAGCAACCAAAGATGGTTTAAGTGTTTTTACCTCTGCACCCACGTTGGAGATCCAGATGAAGCTCCTGGTGTCTTGCTTGCCATGTTAATTCATTGTTCAAACCTTGCATTTTCTTAATAGTTTCCTGTGTCCTATCATCTACTGAAAGAGGTACTGACATCTCACAGTATAGTTGGGATATTTGTGTTCATCATTTATCTCTATTTGCTTTGTGTTATTTTTAATTTCTGTTATTATGTAATAAATATATTTGGACTTTTGTGTCCTTTTGGTAAAAATCAGGATGGCACATTTTTTTTTTAATCCCTGGTGATATTTTTTATCTGAAATCTACTCAGCATAGCTGCTCTAGTTTTCTTTTTCTTACATTAAAATTTCGAAGAGTATCAGCGAGCTTCACCTACTAGTTCTCTCTGCCGATTCCTGGGATGGCTGGGTGGGGCTGTGCCTGGATGGAGCCAGGAACCGGGAACGCAGTGCCCTTCTGCCTAGTGAGAGGCAGGGATACCGGTGTCTGTCATCGCTGACTCCCTCCTGTGTGTGTAAGCAGGAAGCTGGACATGGAAAAGGAGCCAGGGTTGAAATGCAGACACTGCCCCCAGCACAGACGTACCAGTTGCAAATGAGACTTTAACCAGAGTGCCAAACGCTAGCTGGTAGATTTCCTTTAATAAGTATAAATATTCTATGTCTTTCCTCTTCCATTTTTAATCTATTTCTGTTTTCACATTTAAGTTCTATTTCTTGTAGGCAGCATTTATTTAGTATTGCTTTTGTTTTGCAACCTGATTATTCCCACTTTAAAACATATATATTAAATATAAACATAAGTATGTAAATATCTAATTTGGGAGCATTGTGGTGGCATATCAGGCTAAGCCTTCGCCTACAGCACTGGCGTCCCATATAGGCAGCTATTTATGTCCCAGCTGCTCCAGTTATGTTCCAGATCCCTGCTAATGGTCTGGAGAAACAGTGGAGGATGGTCCAAGGATGATCAGGCTCACTGAACCCACTTGTGAGACCCAGAAGAAGCCCCTAGCTGCCAGCTTCTCACTGGCCTACCTCTTGTTGTTATGTCCATCCGTGGAGTTTGTGTCCAGATCTATCTCTCTCTTGTTCCTCTCTCACTGTCACCTCTGTCTCTCCCCCTCCCCTATTCCTTTAAGTACTAAAACAAACAAACAAAAACCTTTAAAAACAGAAGACTTGAGGCAGGTTAAAATTAGGACCCCAGAACTCAATCCAGGTCTCCAGGTTGTTGACAGGGACCCTAATACTTGCACCATCCCTTTGAGCCTCCCAGAGTGTACCTTACCAAGGAACTGGATTGGAAGCAGACGAGACTTGAACTCAGGCACTCCGTCAAGGATTCAGGCATTCCAAGCAGTATCTTAACCACTGCATCACTCACTAGCTCCAGTATTCTTTTTTCTGATATTTAGACCATAAGTACTTTTGTAAAGTGTTTATTTAGAAGGCAGAGACAAAGGAATTAAGAAGAGGTAGGATCAGAGGGAGGGATTGAGGAAGGGAGAGCGAGAGCCAGAGCGAGAAGCACTCTTGTCTGTTGACCTACTTCAAAATGCCCTCAATGTTCCTGAGCCAGGTACTCTATCAGATCTCCCAAGTCAGTGGCGGGGACCCAACGATTTGACCCATCATTTCCACCTGCTAGTCTGCAGCAGCAGAATGCAGTGGTCGGGATCCTGAGGCAGGCATTGAACCCGTGCACTCCAAGATGAGATGGGGCATCCAAAGTGGGATATATTATCTGCAAGGCCCAATGCCTGCCTGCCCCTCAGAGCATGTGCGTTTGGAGTGATTACCGATATGATTAGGTTTAAATGTATTACCTTGCTGTTTGAGGTATATTTGTCCCCTCCACTCTTTGTTTTTCTTTCCTCCTGGTTTTTTACCATCTTCTGAATTGTTTTCCTATGATCTGTTTTTATCTGCCTTGTTTTCTTATTAGCTACAACTTTCATTTTAATTTTAGTCACTTCTTTGGAATTTATACATGTATAATTCATTACAGTCTGTCTGCGAGTGAATTGTTCAACTTCATATATAGGAACTATATATATATATAGTTCATATATAGGAATTAATAATATAATTCTATTTCTGCTCTTCTGAGCTTTGTACTGTTGTTGTCATGCATTTATTTTTGCTTATTTTATAAACCTCAAGGCATATTGCTATTATTTTTGGTCAATCAGTTTGACCTTGAAGAAATTTCAGTTGAAAAATGTTGCCAGTGTAATTGTCGTTTTTGGCAGCTTTCATTCCTTTGTGTAGATCCATGTTTTCCTCTGTTACCATTGTCTTTGTGTTTGAAGAACTTCAACACGTCGTGCCTAGCTTTTGCTTTTGTCTGTGTGCAGCAAAGTCTCTTCTTTTTCAGAAACTCTGCAGCATCAAGATGTTGACAGCTTCTTGCAGAATTTTCAGTAAGATGTTGCTCCACCGTCCTCTCACTTGTGCTGTCTCTGATGACAAATCTGCCATCCTTCTTAAATTTGCTCCTCTGCAGCACATGGCTGATGCTCTGGCTGCTTTTAAGTTTTTGCTCTTCAATTCCTGGTTTTGAACAATTTTTTATTAGGATGTTTTGGTGTAGGATATTTCATGGTTCTGCTTGGAGTTCACTGAGCTGCTTGGACTGTGGTTTATAATTTTTCATCATTATTTCCTCAATATTTTTGTGCACTCTTTTCCAGTTTAGGGGTTGCAGTTGCATGTATGTAGTGTTGAAGTGAACCCCAGCCCTTTGATGCTCTTTTCTTACTGTTTCCTCCTTTTCCTCGTTTTTGATTTTGGATGGTTTTTATGTCTATGTCTTCAAGTTCATTTGTCCTTCCTTTTATGATTTGTAAGTTGCCATTAATCCTGTTTTTTGCATTCATCTCAAATATTAACATTTTCTAGAGGTTCAGTTTTGGTGTTTTAAAAACATGCTTCAACTATGTTTGCACTACTGAAACTTGTAACTTTTAAAATACTGTCTGCTAATTCTTATATCTATGCTAGTTCAGTATCTTGATTTTTCTCCTCATGATTCGTATTTTCTGCTTTTCATAGCTATCACAGTTGGATTATAAGTTGGATGTTGCAAATTTTGCCTAAGTGAATGATGAATGTTCTTTTATTCCTGTAAATATTCCTGAGCTTTGTTCTAGATGCTTCTAAGTAGCTTGGAAATAGTTTTGATCCCTTGGTGTCCGGCTTTTAAGATTTCTCAGGTTGTTCTTGAGCATTGTCCACTGTGATGAAAACTGAATTGTCGTTACTGAGGAAAGAGGCTTCCCAGTACTCCAGCTCATGCCCTGTGAGTAGAGACTGGCAGTAGGCACTGTCACCAGCACTGTGTGACAACTGGCTCTTCTTCCCTTGCATTGCTGATGCTTCCTGTGTTTGACGCATACTCTAGACTCTGTCCAGACAACAGTCTGAACAGTCATGGAGATCATCTTTTCTCTCTCTCTCTCGCTTTTTTCCGTGGAGCCGGGAGGGGAGGGTAAGTATCTGGAAATAGCAGACATCTTCAACTTCTTCAATCAGCTTTCTTTGTTCCTTTACTTGCCTTCAGATAGATTTAATATTCTTTTTGTAATAACTTTAGCATTTTTTTCTGGTATTCATTTCTAAGTATTTTAAAGTTCATACTGTGTTTTTTACTTAAGTCAGAGTTGCTTCATAAGGTTGTAGCATGTTTAAATTCAAAGAATATGACATGATTTTTTGAAAGGCTTGCCTTGTGAATTAATACATGCTTGATTTGGGGGAATACTTCACATATTAATAAAAATAATGCATATTTCTTGTTTGATGTATAGTTTGTATATATTTACTTTTTACCTTGAGCCTTCAAAAAGACTTGTGTAACTATTTGTGCTGATTACTCTACTGTATTCTAAGAGGAATATTATAAATCTTTCATCTGATAATTTATTTTTTTTTCCTCTAAGTCTATACTTCTATATAACTTATAGGTTATATTATTAGGTCATATTGAGTGCTTATTCTCATATCTTTTTCATTCTCTTGTCAGATCTTTATTCATTTTTTTTCCTCAAAGACCTCCTCTTTCATTGAAATGGTCACCACTTTTTCTTGTTTCACATTTTTTAAATCTCTAATTTATTGTTTTGCTTCCAGACTCTTGACCCTTGTGTTTGTGTGCTTCTTGCTAGAACTTGTGTTTTTAATTTAGCATTACAGTCTCAGTGTTTTTGGTTTTTAACTTAACACATTTATATTTAATGTGAACATTTCAGTAAGACTTACTTTTGTGTCTTGTTGGTTGTTTTCTATGTAGTCGTTCTTTCCCCTCTCCCCAGGGTTGAATGCTCCACACACTGTTTTTCTTACCTTGATAATTGCCGCTATGTAATAAGATCAGCATGTCATTCCATTCCCTTGCAAGTTTCTTTTAAAATATTTTACTTGAAAGGCAGAGAGGTAGGTAAAAGATCCCTCTCTATTTATTTCTCTGTCTGCTGGTTTGCTTGACTAGTGCCTGTGACAGCCAGAGCTGGGCCAGGCTAAAGCTGGGAACCCAGAATGCAGTAAGGCTTTCCAGCTTGGGTGATGAGCGCTCAGCTACCTGAGGCATCCTCTGCTGCTTCCTACAGCGCACATCAGCAGGCAGTTGCATCCTACAGAGTGACCAGGGCACAAAGTAGGCACTCTGCTACAGTATGTGGCTATCCTGAGCAGCAGTTTAACTGCTATGCTACGTGTCGCTCAGGGTGTGTGTGTGTGTGTGTATGTGTGTGTGTAATATATTAAGTTTACAAAAAAAGTTTTCTCCCAGGTGTGAGTCCACCTCTTAGTGTCTTCATGCTGATACCGTTAAGAATTTGGTTCTGGATTGACTCATTGCTCTGCCCCTGCTTTTATAAAGTAAACATTATTGTGTTATTTACTTACCTTCATTTAACAAAATATAATATTCTGTGGGACTTATTTTTCTTTTGTTGAATCAGTTTCTTCAAGACTTATGTAAAATATTTTTTTTAAACCTCATGTTTGAAAGACACATTCTTTTCTTCACAGACATTGTATTTCCTAGGTGTTCCATTTTCCACCCTAAACACCTACACCCCCGAGTCATGAACAATTTTGGCTGATGAAGTGGACTCTGAAAGTAAGCTAAGCCCAGTTCCTAGGGGAGCGGAAGGGTGTTTGGCCTCTTAGCATAACAGTGGCTTGACTATGAGGTTCTCTTCACAGATCAAACTTGATTCCAAAAGCTTGGCCTGTGCTTCCACTCAACATTTCTCTTTCTTTCTTTTTTTTTTTTAACATTTATTTTTATTTATTTTTTTTTTTATTGGAAAGGCAGATATACAGAGAGGAGAGACAGAGAGGAAGATCTTCCGTCCGATGATTCACTCCCCGAGTGAGCGCAACTGCCGATGCTATGCCGATCCGAAGCCAGGAGCCTCTTCCGGGTCTCCCGCGCGGGTGCAGGGTCCCAAAGCTTTGGTCCGTCCTTGACTGCTTTCCCGGGCCACAGGCAGGGAGCTGGAAGGGAAGCGGGGCTGCCGGGATTAGAACCAGCGCCCATATGGGATCCCGGGGGCGTGCAAGGCGAGGACCTTAACCACTTGCGCCACCGCGCCAGGCCCAACATTTCTCTTTCAAGAGCAGAATTACTCATTCTGGATTTTCTTTTTCTCAGGGCATGGACTCAGGATGAGACAGGCATGTTGAGGGAAGCCTGCCTCTGCCTGAGCCTGGGCCCCAGCCCTGTTCTCTTATTACTGTTCAGTTTCTAGCTTGTGTCCACGTCTAAGGCCCTCTGCAGGAGAAGTCGTTTGTTTCACCAACCGGTGTAAGGAAGGGTCTCTGGAGGCTTTGCTCAGGCTTTCTTCCTGCCCAGTCTGAGTCCTATTTGAACAGGGCTTTGTTTCTGGGCTTACCTGAGAAACCCAGCCGTAAACCTACTTAGTTTTGAAATTCTTCTCAAGAGTATTCAGTGTCTCTGAAAAGGGAGCTGACCTGCTGAGTACGGTCCACATGCCAGCATGTAACTTGTAGACATCTCTTCCCCAAATTTTCCTTTCTTTCAGCTGGTCAGAGTTAGTTCTTGTTTGAAAATCCTGCTCTCCAGCCTCCTTCTGCACTCAGGGTGGGTGTGTAGAGATATCATTTAGTAGCCGTTCTCTTCCCCAGCTGCATCCAAGTTCAGCTTGGACCTGATGCAGATTCATGAATTTTAGAATTCCAAAGAAAATATTGTCAGTTTCAAACTTTGGCTCTTTGCATTAACCTAGAAAGTTAAAATAATGTGTATTAACCTAGAACATTGTTGTTTTAGGAAACTGTACCCAAATATGTACATTATCTCTGCCCACTCCGTGCCCCGTTCCTCTGTCTGCTGATCGTGCTGACCATGACTTATTAGTGGGAGCTCACGCTTCTCCCCTACAGTCACCGCCCCCCCCCGCGATAATGGGGTCCTCTGTCAGGAGCCCAGTGGCCTTTTCTCCGTGCCAAGCCAGTCTGCACCTCCCCGAGAAGGAGCTCTCCAAGGCTACACGAGGAAAAGACCCACCAGAATCAGATTTCTTCCAGACCCAATCCATAGTGTATCAAAATTAATCAAGTCCTACCATGACTTGCTTTCTTCATAATACTTAATGGTCATGTAATAGGAGTTTTTATTCAGCAGTTAAAGTTCATAAGAGCAGTTTTACATGGAGATAGGTATTATGCTGATGGTTTAATTACACACCTTTTTGCACACCAAAGGAAATGGCTTATGCAGGTTTTGTAATTAAGGGAGGACTCCTGAGAGCGAGGGGGTGGGGGAAGGGAGGAACCTCGGGAGAAGGGAATTTCTAGAAAATGTTTATTTTTAAATTAGTAAGTCTTTGAAAATTTCCAGTCCAGGAAATGATACATGAGGTTAGAAGTTGTTTATATATAAGCAGCGTACTCATTTATGCTGGCTCGTGCTCTCTCACTTCCGCTCTGTCTCTCCCCTCCCAACACACACACACACAGACACGGATGCGTGAACACACAGTTTTCTAGGTCTCATGTGAGAAATGAAAATTTTTTCTTTTTTGAACTTGACACTAAGTGTTACCACATCCTTCTTTTCCTTTAAGGCTGACATAAGACATTTTCCCTGGGGGCAATAATTTTAACTTCATTAAACAAGTTACCTGGTATTGGGCCAAGGATGACTAATCTGGATCTACAAATTCTTGATTTTGTTGAATCCATACTATTCAGTTTCTCCACGTTAGACTCTGCTTTCACAGGGCCAGGGTTTCCTACCTGCTCTGTGTTCCCGAAACCAAAAGTTAATTGACTCTTTGTGCCCGAATACATGCCCTTGTACATAGCCAGCTCCCACCCGTGTCCCTGAACTCTAGGTTCCTTTAGCCAGCTGCCGACTGAACGACTGAAGTTGGATGTTCAGAAAACCAGCTGAGTTTACAGTCTTGAGACAATCTCCTGGTGTTTCCTTCAATCTAGTCCTCAAGCAGCCTTGCCTTCTTAGATTAGTAAATAGCCACCCCACCTTTCAGTTTATCACATCAAAAAAAAAAAATCTCGGGGTTTTTCTCTTATTTAACTGACGATGTATTTAGCAGAAATTTTATTGATTGTTTTCCAAACGCAGTGACTTCTCCATCTTATCGATGGAGACCCCTTTCAGGGTTCTAGCCACAAAGGCTCTCTATTAACATGTCCATATTTCTTCTACATTTACAGTGCAGCAGGCAGATGAAATCTTTTAAACCCAACTCACTGTCATGCTTAGACTCACAACCCTCTACTAGCTTCCACTCACCAACAGAAACAGTGAATGTCTTCATCAAGAGGCCACTAATGCTTTTTAAAGACTTTTATTGTTGTTGGAAAGGCACACCAGCTTTACGAAGAGGAGAAATAGAGAAAAAGATCCTCCAACCATTAGTTTGATCTGAAAGTGGCTACAGTGCCTACGGCTGAGCTAATCCATGGAGCCAGGAGCTTCTTTTGTGTCTCCCACATGGGTGCAGGGTCCCAAGGCTTTGGGTCGTCCTTTACTGCTTCTGCAGCCATAATCGGGGAGCTGAATGGGAAGTAGAGTAGCCGAGACTCAAACTGGTGCCCATATGGGATCCTGGCACGTGCAAGGTGAGGATTTAGCCATGTGCTGTTGGTGCTGGGCCCTATTAATGCTGAGTGGCATGTGTTCCCCCTGACCTCCCACAATGTTTTGCTCTTTGTGTTCCATCTTCAGAGCTTAGATATCTCTGTTGCCTAGCCCTAGAATTTTCTTCTCCCAGGAATCCCTACAACTTATTTCCTTTAGATCTTTGTTCAAAAGCTATTATTAACTGGTCCCAGTATAGTAGCCTAGTGGTAAAAGTCCTCACCTTGCATATGCTGGGATCTCATATGGGTACCTGTTCATATCCCAGCTGCTCCACGTCCCTTCTAGCTCCCTGCTGTGGCCTAGGAAAGCAGTCGAGGACAGCCCAAAGCTTTGGGACCTGCACCCATGTGAGA